TTGGCATTTAGCAGCGATCCCGGTTCACAGATGACAACTATGCGCCATTTGGGAAGGAAAATAGTTATCAAATCTTTTTAGAGAAACTGGAAACAATTATGTACAAGCGTTTGTTTGATGATTAAATCGCAAGCGGAGTAGAGCACTAGTTTTGGACGTAGATTGACTCTTTTAAGTTCTCACTTTTCACTTGTAGGGTGCATTCCCGGTCGAGGCTGTGAGGGGAAATGTGCGTGTGGACCGGATCAACCGAAGGTCAAACCGAAGGTGACCTAGCACTAGTTGCTGATTTTCGCCCAATCGGGAGCCGATTGGGCGTGTATTTCGATATGTTTATACAGTATGTGTAGAAGTTGTTTCCAGGGCACTTGGGAAGCATATTTTGAGTCAAACTACTTAGAAGATTTTGATATTTAAATTCTACCCTAAAAATCTGTATTTCTCAATTTTCAGCTCCGACCCGAACATCGCGCCGATGCACGGCAACCACAATATGGGCTATTCAGAAGGAACTTTGCTTACCATTTAAACAACCAACAACTTCTACATAACGTGTGTCCAGTTTCATTCAAAGATTTGATAATCAATTTCGTTACCAATTCTGATTTCTATCACGCGCTTGCCTTATCCCCTTTTCTCACATCTTCCCTCTCCTCCCTCTCGATGTAAACTAGCGTTTTGAGTAACGTTCTCTGAGAAGAGCTTCTTAGAAAACGCATTAAACAAGAGGAACACACTTTATAGATATATCCATTCCATTTTTTTCCTTATTTAAGCTCCGTTTTCTTTAGTTCCTATAAAGCTCCTTCTTGGGGAAGGAGGGAAGGGAAGAGGAGGGAAGGAAAGAGAGGGTGGAGAGGGAGGAGAGGGAAGATGAGGGGAAAGGGGAAGAGATAAGACAAGCGATTGCCTACATAGAAATCAGAATTGGCTTGGGATAGCTCTGAGGACCATCCAGAAGATTGTAAGGCAATGGAAAGATGAAGGACATGTTCAGAAGAGGACGAAGGAGGACCGTTAACACCCGAACGATGCAGATTCTGGCTTTCGGGAAGGAGGGAAGGGAAGAGGAGGGAAGGAAAGAGAGGGTGGAGAGGGAGGAGAGGGAAGATGAGGGGAAAGTAGATTCTGGCTTTTATCTTTTTACAAAGTAAATCCAATGGAAAACCAGTAGATTCTCGCTTTATTCTTCTACAAGGTAAAATCCGATGGAAAACCAGTAGATTCTGGTATTATTCCTTTAGACCAGGTAAAATCCAATGGAAAACCAGTAGATTCTGGCTTTATTCTTTTTACAAGGTAAAATCCAATGGAAAACTAGCAGGTTCTTGCTGTCTTCCACAACTTGGATCAAGTACTAAGAAGAATTTACTCGAAAACTACCTCTGGTAGTTAAAAAAGCAAAGCGATTGGCGGACAAATTTGAAAAATCTCGGGCGGGGTCGAACCGCCGACCTTGTGTATGTTAGACACCTGTGAAAACCACTACAGCACGAGACCTCTAGTCTGGAGCTAAAAATAGGAACTATTCAACTCATTCTGCCATTTTTCCACCAAAACTACCTTTTCTAAGATCAGTTTTTGACAGATGTGGCCCCTTTTAGCCCGGTCAATTTCCCAGCGGCCACTGCGGTCTCGTGGTGTAGTGGTTATCTCATTAAGCGGGCTTTGAGTTGAAGAAGTTGACCACCCAATTGTTGATCTCATCGATGTCTTTGAGCTGTTCTTCTCGTAGGGAATCTTTTTCCTGAGCCTTCCTTGCCACATAGCCTGCCTTCCTTCACAAAGCAAGTGGATAGTCCTCGGATCGAAGCCTTTTTGGCGGAGGACCTGATCGTCTGGCCCAAGTGTACTGTGGAGATCAGCAGTAACCATTTCGCCTTTTTAGCACTTCAAAATGAAGTAATCCTTGGTTAATCCACCAAACGCAGAGAAGAGCTTTCTTTCCATGTTGTTCTGGTTTCGATGTCGGTTTAGGAATTACTCCTGGACTTAGCCATTGACGTCTTCGAGATAAATTGTCGTATTGTATATTGAAAGAAAAAGAGAATAATCAACGTGGGATGACCATTAGTGAAAGAGATGGATTTATTAAGAGTAATCCCGGTGGGAGCGTTTTCAGGCCTGAAAGGGTTTTCAGCACTGAAAAGCATTGATTACTGCAAGACTTTCAGGTCTGAAAGGCTTTCAGGACTGAAAACGCTTTCAGGCCTGAAAATGCTTTCGGTACTGAAAATGCTTTCAGTACTGAAAGCATTTAGGCTGTTGCCGAAGCTTACATGAATGTACTAAATTTTACAGAAATAATTACAAATAGACTCTCAAATATTCAATTAATATTCGATATTCGATAAAACTCCTCACTACTTTGTAATATTTCTTTCTCAAAGAAATATGAATTTGACTACAAAAATTTGCGCCGCACAGGTGACCTTGTTCATTTTCTTCTTCTTTTTATATTCAAGTTCAAAGACTCAACGAAAACATGTCGCTATGATTTTTTGATAAATTTTTAGTTTTGATTTAGTTGACTAAGCATCTTCATTGCCGAAATTACTGTATTAGTTATGCTTTTATTTACTAGAAAACATTGCGCTTTGTTCATTTTATTCAAGTTTTATGATGTGGCAAATAAACAAAATATTGTAACTATTTGTAAATCTCATTGTTAAAAATAAACATTTCGCGATTGAAGATTCGAACCCACCCAAAAGAGAACTCGATTACTTCCGTTCAACGGTTCAAGGCTGATCTCAGACGGTTCAAGGCTGAGCTCAGACGGTTCAAGGCTGATCACTCTAATCTCCATTGCCTTTGCCTTTACTTTTTTTGAATTGTTGGACAAAGAAATCCGTGCAAATCTGTGCAAATCATTACCATCATTACAATCATTACAATCATTATAATCATTATAATCATTACAATCATTCAAATTCATACAACCATTTTCCCCCTCATACGCGGATCTCATGATCACGAATGTCAACACTCACCAACCAAACCTTCCTTGCCGCTAAATCTCGATGAATGAAACAATGAGAGATCAGGTATTCAATTCTGTAAAAGATTGGCTATCTTTTGGCTATAAAAAAGAACAGATGTTTTTGAAGTGGAGTGTCCTAGTGACGACTTTTGAACCAGCTGCACAACGTTATGCTATTGCAAAATCGCTTGCTGTTTTTGTGGATTTGTATTCAAAACTGAAGATTAAAACATCTTTTTTGTTTACAAAAGGGATGTTTTTATACAACCCAGCACAGAAGCATAAAGCATAACTCAGCTCCCATCAAAGGTCCAAAGTGTAACGAAAACCAGGACGAAGAACTATAGCTGGACACCAAAAATTTTATTTGAAAAATTTCTCGTTTTCGTGCAAAAACCATTCGATTCAGTTTATATAAGAAAACAAAATGATTGCACACAACATTGAAAGATATTCTGGTTTTTAGTTGCAGAAGGCGGCTCCACCAATGCAGGAACCACCATTAAAGTCTTTTGAAACGCAGCAAGCGACGACACCACTCTAAAAATAATATAAATAAATTGTGACGACAAAACTAATTTTTTAAACTAAGCCTTTATCCGCCTTGTTTAACGGTGTTTGTAGCAACATTCAGAATATTTTTTGATTGAGAATTTAACTCACCGGGCAAGAGGAGTCGCATGCCGGGACGGCAACAGCGTTGACCATGGCAGAAGAAGCTAAAATCTTTGATTTCTTTTGAGCTTCGAAGCCATTTGGGCCATCTTTCTAATAAGCCAAAAACTTGAAGCAATTTATAGGCTGAGAAATGCGCTAATTAAATAAAACTTTGAGAAGATTAATTTATTTAAACTTGAACCCACTGAAGACGAGAAGAACGGCGAAGAGAAGAGCGAGACAAGAGGAGAGCAGACGCATTGCTTGTGTTAGAGCTAGTTAGAGCTAGGAACTAAATAAGGACGATAAAGAAGGAGCTTTAAAGGAGCTTTCTAAAAGCTAAATAGGGATAAAGGAGCTTTAAAAGAGAGAACGGCGAAGAGAAGAGCAAGAGAGGAGAGAAGACGTATGTGTTAGAAGCTGTGAACTGATGGCAGATCGAAATCCTTGTCAGTCCGAATACTATTTATATGGAAGCTGGAATGATAACAACCTAAAACAAAAAATCGGATTCAAACGATCAAAAACGTGAGCTGAGAGGGACACGTGATCACGTGGAAATTTTTTGAAGCAAACTGATTAGGGATGCGTCCTGTGTCTTCGAATCTTTTTGCCAAATATTTATGACCAGCATTGGGTCGAGATATGCTTCCGGTGTGCGTTGTTTTCATCTTCCCATCTCTAAAAATGCAATTACTTTTTTCGAGCATATTCTTTTGCAAACTTCGATCAAAATTGTTTCAGTGCCTGAAATCGATTTCAGTGCCTGAAATCAGATTTTAAAATAAATAGCTTTAATGCCAAACTTTATTTCAACCTCAGCTACATGATGCGTTGATGCTCGATTGCCACCCGTGCACCCCGAGACCCTTTTGTGTTCCTGAGCGGATCAATTCTGCTTCCAACTCATCAGCCAAACCCATCGCGCCGTCCTAGGTAAATCGGTTTGGTTATTGTTGGTTTGCTAAAAATAATAAAGATATTAGCAAATATACTACTTATTAATACTTACTACTTGCTACTAATATACTATAGTTTCTCAAATCAAATGCCTATGTCTCGAGTAACCAGCACAAAGTTCATCAGCACCGCTGCCAACCATAAAATAAGTTGCCGAAGTCCTAAGCTAAAAAATAAATAACGAATGCATTTCTCAAAACCGAACCTTGTACTTTTCCCATCAACATCAACATCCAGCGCCATGTAACGCGAACCAAAGCACCGATCCAAGTGATTCATCGAGAATTGGTTGACAGGGTTGAACATTTCTGTTAATAGAATAAAACTTTCAGCATAACTATTATAGTTTACCTCGAAATTCGTTCCCGATTTTCTTCACTTCTTTTGGAGAGACATTTCACCGTATGAAATTCCATCGACGAAGCGGCCGCTCTCTCTTCAATTCCTCAAAGCCAGCTCTTCCCCGGATTCTGTCTGGAGTTTTCTCGCATTCCTATTAACAAATAATTAAGTCAAAATATTGTAACAAACTGTTTCTGATAGGCCAAAAGCCACGGCTATGAGATCGATTTGTACATCACTTGCTGCAACCATATCAGCAATGTAGGCAACAAGTAAACTATCGATCCTCTCGGAAAAGCCTAAACTTTGAAGATTTACTTCAAAAACTCAAACAGTAAGAGTTTCCAATCTTTGATCAAGACATATTTTTATAGCGTTGCATAGGTATTTTAGCAACAAAGAGAAAAACCCGTCCTGTCCAGTGTCTCATTCTTTGAATCTTTGTTAACTTATAACTATGATCCTCTTAAAATTAAAAAAGAAACCTTCATGAAAGGTTGGCCAATGTCTGGACGTCGTATTACAGAAACATTTCTACCTGGAGTCCTCGTTAACACTATTAATATGCAAGCTACCCAACCTAAGCCTTTTATCCATGTTGTACAAGCTCAATATCTTCAGGTAAATCTCCTTTGTCAAATACTGTAAAAATTTGAGCGCTCGTCTCTTTCTTGAGAGGAAAAATTGTTACCGAGCCATGAGGAACATCAAACCATTCTTTAACCTAGAAAAAACAAATTGAGCAACTCTGAACCCTTACATCAGCATTCTCCTGTTTGCAAAGTGACAAAACAAACAAACAAACCAAAAAAGAACAAAAATATTTATCAGGTATATAAAATAGCGCAAAAACAAATTAAGAAATAATGAAAAACAACAAGGAAAAAAAAATTTATATTTCAAACTAAAAATCTCTAGCCGTTGGTCTGCGTGTCCCAGAATAATGCCTCGTATGCTCGGAGGAGAGCCTAAATTTATTAGTAAAACATAACAAACATATTCTTACCTGTGGGTCTACTTCTTTAATCTTTTCGACGGTAACAATTTGCATTACAAGACAGTTCTTGTATTTGCACAGCCCCACCAGCTCATTTTTCACGAAAAAGTTTCATGATTTTCTCGATCTAAACATTGTTAATACGCCAATAAACTACCCGCTTCATACCTTGATGCCTCGATCGAGTAAACATGATGGTAGAGAAGGTGGATTCTTTCTTTGCAATGAAACATTTGTAGACGCTTTGATCTATTAATAGCTAAACTTTAAACAAACTCACATTTTTGACTGCTCATGGATCAGCTGAAGTGGGTGGAGAATTCTCTATTGAAGCACCCGTAACATTGACCTAAAAAGAATCATAAATTAGCTTTGAAAAACAATCCACCTGTGGAAGGGCGGCAACCAATGCGGGAGCAGAGGAGACTGAAAATAGCTATTGAATGGGAAATTGAAAAGATCTTACCTGGCAAAACTGGTGGAATGTTATTGGCACCCAACCTCTCTCTAATCAAATCCAGGCGATCCATTCGAGCCATCACTGAAAAAGTCATCCTAATTTTGCTGAATACGTTTAGGTTTCTGAGTGGATAGAAGCCCTCGAAACAAAATAAACCCACTTTCTTCGATTTCACAGTTAATTTAGCACTTTTCTTGAGCAGCGCAAATGTCTTTTGAAAACTGAGCACGCTAAAGAATATGTGAAACGGCTGAATTCAGTCCAAATATCCATGCATTTCCACACTTTTCCTCACGCAGTCATTTGCTCGCTTTCTTTATAACCTAAGCACTTTACTCAAAAGTCATATCTTTTTACGATTTATCAATATTTTTTATTTAAAAAGCTTTTGTAATGTTGATAAGATTTATTCCAATTAAACCCACTTTCCTCAGGAATCCTTGAGCCATCAGACCCCACCATGTTCGTCGTAGCTTGAGCAAACCATAAATGTGAATTAAGTTGGTATCTACCGATAAGATTCTTGCCTACAGAAATAAATTATTTTTTATTCTGACAATCTCACATAGGGCCATTGTGGATAGGCAGCTTCCCGTGGATAATCCATATGGATATTATAAATAGAAGAGCTTTTATTCCACAAAAGGGACTCAGTCCTTTATGGTAAAAATAGCTCAAAAATTCATTTTTCATTTAGTTCCTATAAATTATTTTTTTAGATTCAAGACGGTCAAAGAATCCCGATCTAATCATACGAACGAGCCGTGAATATAGAGAATCAGATTTTATGCTAATTCAGGTATTCTTTACTATTATCTAGAGTGTAAAAACAGCCACACACATAAAAATCTGAAAAGGGTGTCTCGAGAAAGCATTGGTTTGGCTGCGGCATTTAGCAGCGATCCCGGTTCACAGATGACAACTACGCGCCATTTGGGAAGGAAAATAGTTATCAAATCTTTTTAGGGAAACTGGAAACAATTATGTACAAGCGTTTGTTTGATGTTTAAATCGCAAGCGGAGTAGAGCACTAGTTTTGGACGTAGATTGACCTTTTAAGTTCTCACTTTTTACTTGTAGGGTGCATCTTCAGCCTTCAGCCAAAACGGATCTTTTTTCACAAATGCATTCACAAATTTCACAAATTTTTACATCCCGCATTGTTGCGGGATGTAAAAAGAGGAAGAGCAAATATATTTTTCATTTTTTTATATTTGGATCTTTTTACTTTCTATCTTTCTATATCTTTTTACATCTTTCTATCGTTCTATATCTTTCTACTTTTTTCTATATTTTTCTATCTTTTTAAATATTGCTATCTTTCTACATCTTTCTACATCTTTCTACATCTTTCTACATCTTTCTACATCTTTCTACATCTTTCTATCGTTCTATATCTTTCTATATCTTTCTATATTTTTCTTGAAAGATTTGAATTTGTTTTGTTTGTTTGTTTTTGTTTGTTGTTTGAATTTGTTTTTTTCCAAGACAAGACATTGTTGAATTTGTTTTTTTTCAAAGACGAGACACGTCAATCCAAGCACTTTTCCTTTCTCTAATCTTTTCCAAACGATTCTGCAATCGATTCTTTTCACTTAAAATTTCAGAGATTTCTTCGATTCGTCCAGGTCTCCGCCGCGATTCGATCGGTGATCGTCCAGTTCCGCTACTTCATCTCGAGGTAATCAAGCTTTTCTTATATTCATAAATTCCAGATTTTTCCTGTGATAAAGCATAAGATTCCGTTTCAGATGGGACAAGGACCTCGAGTCTGGAGGAATCGGCCAACAAGTGGTGCGTGCTTGTTGAAGAAAAAGAATAAGGAAAGGGCTGATCTTTAAAGGATCCTTTTCCATTCTGCAATGAAATGCTAGCCATTTGAGATTTACCGTTTGAGTTTACCAGCTTGTTTTTCAATTTTACTCAAAAAATATTTAATTTTTTTCTATGAAAAGCATCACGCAAATCGTTATTATGGTAGCTGATTAAACGACTATAAATCTTGCGAGGAATACGTTTCATGAAAACGCAGACTTAGCTAAAAATTAGTCTAAAAATGAGCTGTAGGTCAAAACAAGCAGAATGCAAAAACACTGACTCTAAGCCTTCAAGATACTGAACTACTTTTGCAGTCCTCACTATCTTATGGAATCAGAGGAAAAGTTTGAAAAATACAGAAAAAAAGCTTGAAAACATGAAATAAGAGCAACAGAATAAAGGACAAGGTTGTGAAGAGTTGACATTTAGAATATAAGTCCACTTCGAGATAGAGATCTATGACCACTCATTTCAGAATTGGTGCTTGGCCTTCACAATTCATCGCACAGAATCGGGGCAAACAATCGATCGAATCCCATTCATCGGACACCGCGACAACAGCAACAACTCCAGCCACCGCCACCCATTCATCTGCCAATGCACGGCCCGCAACATGTTCGTTTTTGAAAACATTAATCTTTAATAATATTGAACTCTCGCCTTTCTTGGCGATATTTGTCGTCAATCTTTTCCTTACAATTACTATCGTGCTTCAGATGTAACCAGGCCTTAAATTCTTCCTCTAAAAGGCATCTATTCATAAAACTACCGCAAATCAGACATTTTTCCTCTCTGGTCAGATTTGATGAGCAATCATTCAAGTCTCAATGAATGAGCTCAAATTTGATTGATTATGATATTTTTCTTGTAATACCACGGAGATTATTCTCTTTTTCTTGCAATATACAATACGACAATTTATCTCGAAGACGTCAATGGCTGAGTCCAGGAGTAATTCCTAAACCGACATCGAAACCAGAACAACATGGAAAGAAAGCTCTTCGCTGTGTTTGGTGGATTAACCAAGGATTAAAAAAGCAAAGCGATTGGCGGACAAAATTGAAAAATTAAAATGATCTCGGGCGGGGTCGAACCGCCGACCTTGTGTATGTTAGACAGATGTGATAACCACTACACCACGAGACCTCTGGTCTGGAGCTAAAAATAGGAACTATTCAACTCATTTTGCCTTTTTCCACAAAACTACCTTTTTTAAAATCAGTTTTTGACAGATGTGGCCCTTTTTAGCCCTGTCAATTTCCCAGCGGCCACTGCGGGCTCGTGGTGGAGTGGTTATCTCATTAAGCGGGCTTTGAGTTGAAGAAGTTGACCGCCCAATTGTTGATCTCATCGATGTCTTTGAGCTGTTGTTCTCGCAGGGAATGTTCTATAGTCCGAAATAAGTGATAATCTGGGGGAGCCATATCGGGACTATACGGGGCATGAGGAAGCACTTGCCACTCTAACTCTAACAGTAAAAGCTAAATAGGGATAAAGGAGCTTTAAGAGAAAGAACGGCGAAGAGAAGAGCAAGACAAGAGGAGAGAAGACGTATGTGTTAGAAGCTGTGGACTGATGGCAGATCGAAATCCTTGTCAGTCCGAATACTATTTATATGGAGCTGGAATGATAACAACCTAAAACAAAAAATCGGATTCAAACGATCAAAAACGTGAGCTGAGAGGGACAAGTGATCACGTGGAAATTTTTTGAAGCAAACTGATTAGGGATGCGTCCTGTGTCTTCGAATCTTTTTGCCAAATATTTATGACCAGCATGTTGGGTCGAGATATGCTTCCGGTGTGCGTTGTTTTCATCTTCCCATCTCTAAAAATGAAAATAATTAAAGATTAAATTAAGTGTAGCAAATCAACTCACAAAAATTGATTCGTTTTTAGAGATTATCGTCAGTTAATACTAAAATCTAATCATAAGTAAGCTCAACAAGCCGTCGAGTTTAAAATCGTTAATCAATTTAGGGCTTTCAAAAGTGGGTCTCTATTGGGGAACGTGAGGCACATCTCAAAGAGCACATGGTTGGTTGAAAATCACTTTATAACAAAGGAATTAAAAAAACTTAGCTATAAGAATTTATGGAATGTAGTTTTAAAACAGTGATAGAAATGGAGAAAAAGTTCACAACAGGGCCATCAAGACAATTCAATTTTTATTCTCGGGAAATTCCTTGCAGTTTAGCTAGAGTCAAGAAATAAAAATCAACCAGTTTCTTAAATCGATGTTACAACCTTGTAACCATACTTAGGCCGCACTCTGTACATGATGGTGAAACAGTCTTTTAAAAAGTTAACAAAATCCGGTTTCAGCTTGCGCGCCTCATCACACAAGAAACGAACCAACCGATCGACGTCTCATTCCTGAAATAAAAACGTTTGAGCACATTAATAAAGGCCTCATTTCAAAAATCTGCTTATAAACTCAAGTGATGTTTTTTTAACCCGCGCCAAAAAGGCGTTCAATTTCATTCATAGATACAAACAAGGAAAGGAAGGCTCAGGAAAAACTCGAAGAGTTAGAGTGGCAAGTGCTTCCTGATGCCCCGTATAGTCCCGATATGGCTCCCCCAGATTATCACTTATTTCGGAATATGGAACATTCCCTGCGAGAAGAACAGCTCAAAGACATCGATGAGATCAACATTGGGTGGTCAACTTCTTCAACTCAAAGCCCGCTTAATGAGATAACCACTACACCACGAGACCGCAGTGGCCGCTGGGAAACTGACAGGGATAAAAAGGGCCACAAAAACTCTACATCTACAGTTTGTTCTACCCATTAAATGTGGGGAAAAGTCGGCTCGAGTCAGGCTGTTGCCTGACTGAATTGCTTTTAGGCTGTTGCCGAAGCTTACTTTGTTATTTGTTAACAAGAGAGATGTTTTTAAAACCCCATACAAAACTTTGGATACTCATAACTTTTTGAGTTAACAGTTAACAAAGTTAACAAAATCCGGTTTCAGCTTGCGCGCCTCATCACACAAGAAACGAACCAACCGATCGACGTCTTCCTGAAATAAGAACGTTTGAGCAGATTAATAGCAGCCTTATTTCAAAAATCTGCTTATAAACTCAAGGGATCTAAGGGGCCAATATCCTTTCAACACTACATTTATACTAGTGAAAACGCTCAAACTTCCATGAAATTCGAGAATTCCCGTAGCTGTGTCATAAAGATTGGCTCGCTTATAGGAAATGGTAGCATTTTCCAAATGGAAATGGTAGCATCAAAAAGGTAGCATTTTCCCACTCCCGATTTTATAATGTTGGGAATAATTTTGCTTTAGTATTGCTTCTACAAATCTTCCTCTTTTTTGAGCTTCTAAATTAGCAATTAGATCGTTCAAATAATCTTCAGTTTTGTTTCCCAATTCTTTTTCTTAAGGTTGTGCCTTAGCCTGTAGACTTTCTAGATTCTACAAACAGTCTTAACAAATAAATAACATTTCGTGAATAAGATTTCATTTCAAAAATCAATGCGTTTGATACAAGGTCAACATAATGAACTAAAGTATTATTTGAAGGGTTACTTATTTGAAAAAGGCATTTAATCTCTGGGTGAATTGAATTGAAAACTAGTCTTTCTTTGCTGATCCTTTCGGCTCCTAAAATTTTATCAAAAACTCGATCTAAGTGCGTTGGTTGCTTGGTAGCT